GCGCAAGTCGATGATTTGGTTTTTGTACATGATGCTGCGCGTCCTTGTGTGACACAGCAATGTCTTGAAAACTTAGTCGATACCGCAATAAACCTGAACAGCAGTGCAATTCTTGCAATTCCTGTAAGAGATACTTTGAAGTGTGTTGAGAATCAGCAGGATATCAATAAAACAGTCAGTCGCGATCAATTGTGGCAAGCACAGACACCACAAATTTCTACCTTTTCAAAGCTTAAAACTGCAATCGAAGCAGCTTTAGCGAATAATATTGTCATTACAGACGAGGCGAGTGCATTGGAATATATCAATGAACCTGTCAAAGTGGTCATGGGACGTTCTGATAATATTAAAATTACTTATCCAGATGATTTGGAGTTGGCCAAGTTAATTTTGCAATCGCAGCAATAAAACAACGAAAATAAAAATAATTATGCATTGATTGATTTTCTCAACCGCTATTTATCTCTATAATTTGACCAGATTAAACTAGGTTTAAGATTTGTATTCATGACACCATCGCCACAGTATAAGTTTTTACGTCAATCAGTCAGAGATGGTTTAAGTATTAATCAAAAAGTTTCAAGGTGGGACAAACTACACCTTGATCCTTGGTTATTGGGCTTTTTAATTATCAATGCGATTTTGGGTTTATTGATGGTCTATAGCGCATCTTCTGAAGATATGTCTATGGTCATTCGACAAGCCGTGAGTTTCGGTGTTGGTTTTGTTTTGCTTTTTATTTGTGCACAAATTCCACCGAAAGTATATCAAGCGATTAGTCCTTGGTTTTATTTGTTCGCAATTTTGTTGTTGATTCTGGTTTTATTGGTCGGTGATGTTCGATTAGGCGCAAAGCGCTGGCTGACCATTCCAGGGATTGGCAGTATGCAACCCAGTGAATTTATGAAGTTTGCCATGCCATTGATGATGGCATGGTATTTTGCACGTAACCCGTTGCCGCCTAAATTTAAACACATTGTGATTGCATTGATCATCATGATGGTGCCTTTCGTACTGGCATTATTACAGCCAGACTTGGCGATTGGTATCGTGATTGGTGGTGTGTTTGCTCTGTTTTTAAGTGGTATGTCGTGGACTTTAATTCTTGGGACTTTAGCGGCATTGGCATTGGCTTTCCCTTTAATTTGGACTTTTGTATTACAAGCTTATCAAAAGAAAAGGATTATGACCTTATTTGATCCTGAGTCAGATGCACTTGGGGCAGGATGGAACATTATCCAATCTAAAATTGCGATTGGTTCAGGCGGAATGACAGGGCGTGGATTCTTAGAAGGAACACAGTCTCAGTTGGGCTATTTACCTGAACATCATACTGATTTTATTATGTCGACCTATGCAGAAGAATTTGGTTTTATTGGGGTGTTCTTCTTATTTGCACTTTATACTGCAATGATTTTTAGATGTATGATGATTAGCTTAAGCAGCTTCCATAACTATGGTCGTTTATTGGCAGGTACGATTGGTTTATCCTTGTTTTTCTATGTATTTGTAAACTCTGGTATGGTTAGTGGGATTTTACCTGTGACTGGTGATCCATTACCGTTGATGAGTTATGGTGGATCAGCCGTGATTGCGTTATTGGCGAGTTTTGGTATTGTTATGTCTATCCATACGCATAAATAAAATCTTCACAATTTATAATTTCTCAAACTAAAGCTATTCCTTCTCTCTTTTAAGAGAGGGAATAGTATCAAACATAAACACAAACTATTTTTCTTAAAATTAAATCGCTTATATAGCTTCCTAATGGTTTAAAAATCATGTGATATTGTGAATGAATTATCTATTTAAAGTTGAGTTAAAGCTGACATTTCAACATCAAATCGGTATTGCTAAATCTGTTCTAAGTGCTAAATTAAAATAGTCATATAAATTATTTCTCTAACTAGATCATTTTTATTATAAGACGATTAATTCGTATAAGGTTCGGTTCAGTATGCATATCATCATCATGGGGGCAGGTGTTATTGGTACAACATCCGCCTACTATCTAAAACAAGCAGGTCATGAAGTCACTGTGATTGATCGACAACCCAATGTGGCTTTAGAAACCAGTTTTGCCAATGCAGGGCAGATTTCTCCAGGTTATGCATCACCTTGGGCTGCACCAGGTATTCCACTAAAAGCGTTTAAATGGATGTTTCAACCACATTCACCACTGGCGATTAAGCTGACAGGCGATATGCATCAGTATCAGTGGATGGTCCGCATGTTGGCTGAATGTAATATCAATCGCTATCAAATCAATAAAGAGCGAATGGTGCGGATTTCTGAATATAGCCGTGACTGTCTGGATGAGTTACGTGCAGAGACTAAGATTCATTTTGATGAACGTCAATTAGGTACATTACAACTTTTTCGTAAACAACATCAATTGGATGTGGCAGGTAAAGATACCGAAGTTTTAAAACATGAAGGTGTACCATTTGAGTTGTTGGATAAAGCTGGGGTTATCAAGGCTGAACCTGCTTTAGCCCACGCAACAGTCGATTTTGTTGGTGGTTTGCGTTTACCCAATGACCAGACAGGCGATTGCCAAAAATTCACAACAGAGTTGGCAGAACTTGCAGCCAAACAAGGGGTCAATTTTTTATTTAATACGGTAATCGAATCAATCGAAAAAGATGCTGAACGGATTACCGCGATTCACTTGAAAGATGGTAGCAAAATCAAGGGAGATGCTTATGTCATGGCATTGGGCAGTTATAGCCATGAAATGCTCAAACAATTGGAGATAGATGCACCTGTATACCCATTAAAAGGCTATTCGATCACCACCAAAATTATTGATCCTGCACTATCACCTGTTTCTACAATCCTAGATGAGTCTTATAAAATTGCCTTAACCCGTTTTGATGATCGAATTCGTGTAGGGGGCATGGCTGAAATTAATGGTTTTGATCGTTCTTTAAAATCTAGTCGTGAAGACACTTTGCTTATGGTTTTACAACAATTATTTCCAAATGCAAGTGACATATCGGATGCACATTTCTGGACGGGTTTAAGACCTGCGACACCAGATGGAACACCAATTGTTGGTAAAACAAGGTATCAAAATCTATATACCAATACAGGGCATGGAACTTTAGGTTGGACTATGTCATGTGGTTCAGCAAAATTATTATCCGATATTATTTCTGGAACCACACCACAAATTGAATATGATGATTTGAATGTGTTTCGATATGACTCAGTGAATCACTAAGACGATTGTTAAGGCGATATGAATCAAAATCACCAACAAGTCGCAGAACAGGAAATTTCATTTTCCAATGTGCATTTTTGGCATTGGTTTCTGCTTTTATTTCGTGGTTTTGATGAAGAAAAAGAGCTGAATTTAGATGAGGCGATTCAGGAAGCTGTTGGCTTAGACCCATATAACAAAGAATTAGCCACGTGGTATCAATCATTTCTACCCAGTGAAAATAATAGCATTCGAAATTATCAATTTTCCATTAGTGCGAATATTCGGGTAGATATCCAGTTTGCTCAAGAGCAGATTAATTATTATCTAAATGATCTATATATAGGCAATCTGGGTGGGCACTTTGAAGCATGGTTTTTTACGCTAGAAGAGCTTTTGAGTTTCCAATTGAATGATCAGCATTTCTTACTATTGTTAGCAATGCTGGGTGTTGAACCTCAACAGACTTTAGACGTTAGAATTCAAATATCAAAAAGATTAAATAACATTCCGTCATTTCAAGGACAACAAGATTACATTGCAAATTGTATCGTGAATGGTTTAAAGATGAATCAAGAATTTTATCAGGATGAACAAATCGGGATATTAAATCGACAAAATCATAGTATGCGCAATGTTGAGTTATATCCTGATGATTTGGAACATATAAAAACCATTAATCTTATTTTAAAGCATGATTAAATAGGAAAATAACAATGAAAGCGTTGTTTACAGCCATTAGATATAGGGAAATTGAAAATATTCAACGACTGATTGAGAAAAAGCCTGAATTGGTCAATTGTGTTGCTAAAGCACCTCCGAAGAAAGATGATGGTTTATCTCCATTACAAGTTGCATTTAAAACCTTCAACATATGGGCTGTGAGATTTTTTATTGAACATGGCGCAGATGTTAATTATATGGATCAATCGGAAGTTAATACTTGGAATATGCCTGTATTACATGATGCTGTGATGGCAATTGTGGCATTGGCTCGCTTTGAGTATCCAATTGATCCGTGGGATAAAATTAAAAAAAGTCAAATGGAAATTCGTGGGGAGAAAGAAAATTTTGATGCTGTACTTATGTTATTAGAAATAATGATTGAAAAAGGTGCTGATGTAAATTCTCAAGACAGTAAAGGTAATACAGTGCTGCATAGAGCTTGTTTAGATGTTGAAAATAGACGGTTTGATCAGCATCAATTGTCAGTTGCAACTTTGGAAGATGTCCGACAGCTTTTTCAATTATTGATAAAGTATGGCGCTGATTTCAATCAAGCTACAACAACGCGAGAGTCGGTGATCAAGTTATTTCCAAACCTATTTGAAGAACTTGATTTAAAAATTAGAGAATAATTAAACAATTTTACTTGTATTCGAACAAATTCATGGCATATTAATTGCTAATACAAGGAAAGATGATTGCAGGAGAGAAGTCTCTTGCAGACTCGCCGAAGGAGCAACGACCCCGGAAACTCTCAGGCAAAAGGACTGTAATCATTGTAAAACCTCTGGAGAGAAGTCATTCTATTGAAAACAAAAAAGAAATGACTCACCGAAGGGGATGGTAAGGCCTAAATAGTTTAGGTTTTTATCGAAGCTCTCAGGTACACATGACAGATGGGGCATACATTGACAATGTAATAAAAAAATATTGCATTTCAACGGAGTGTGCGTATGTGTCATGTCGTCATTATTGGTTCTGGTATTACAGGTGTTACCTCTGCCTATGAACTTGCTCAATTAGGTTATCAAGTTACTGTTATTGATAAACATTTATTTCCTGCTATGGAAACATCATTTGCCAATGGTGGACAATTGTCTGCGTGTAATGCTGAAGTGTGGAATCAAAAATCCACCGTGTTAAAAGGCATCAAATGGATGGCAAAAAAAAATGCACCATTATTGCTCAATCCGTCTTTTGATTTGCACAAGTATGCATGGCTGGTCGAATTTCTTGGCAACATCAAACACTATGAAGAAAATACTCAAAATACAGTGAAAATGGCACTTTTAGCACGTCAAAGGCTATTTAATATTGCTGAACAAGAAGGCATTGATTTTGACTTGGAAAAACGAGGCATCTTGCATTTCTATCATTCTGAATATGATTATAAAGTTGCAACTAGTGTAAATGAATTGCTATGTAAAGGTGGTCTAGAACGCCATGCAGTGACCAATGAAGAAATTAAATCCATCGAACCGAGTTTAATGGGTGAATACTATGGTGGTTTTTATTGCCCAGGTGATGCAACTGGTGATATCCATAAATTTACTACTGGACTTGCCAAAGCCACTGAAAAATATGGGGTAAAATATTTATTTGGTATGGAAGTTGTTGATGTAGAGCACACAGCCAACGGGGTGAATATTAAATACCACTCAAGTGTTGAAAACATGGAAGGCAGCTCAGTAGCAATCGAACAACTCAGTGCAGATGCCGTGGTGATTTGTGGCGGTGTTGGCAGTTATCAATTGGCCAATCAATTGGGCGATCGTGTGAATGTTTATCCTGTAAAAGGCTATTCAATCACCGTACAATTGGATGATGAAAAAAGTATCAATGGCGCACCTTGGGTCAGCTTGCTCGATGAAAGTGCGAAAATCGTCACGTCACGATTAGGTGCCAATCGTTTACGTATTGCAGGAACCGCTGAATTTAATGGCTATAATCGAGATATCCGCTCAGATCGTATCCAACCTTTAACAGATTGGGTTAATAAGAATTTCGATATTTCAACCGAGCATTGTATCCCGTGGGCGGGATTACGTCCGATGATGCCGAATATGATGCCTGTGGTAAAACGTGGAAAACGTGAACGGGTATTTTATAATACAGGGCATGGACATTTAGGCTGGACGTTGTCTGCTGCAACAGCTGTGATGATTAGTCAGGAAATTGCAAGCTCGCATCCGATTTAATCATATAGGCAATATTTTTGTATTTGCACTCTGGTGAATGTCCATATTCACCAGAGTGCTGGTAAAAATAATTAGGTGTGTTATGAATATAGAATCAACAATGCAAAAGCACTGGCATGAAACGAGCTATGTAAAGTTAGTTGAATCGATTCAATATATTGCACAAAATTATCACGATGTGTACGCCTTGGCCTTGTACTACTATTGTGACGATGATGAACCTTGTTTTCCCAAAGTTGAACTTAACTTTAATACTAATGAACAGTTTCAAGCGCAAATTTCTGAAGCTTCGAGTCAAGCTGAAGCGAAATGGAATTATGCCTATTGGTTACAAGAACCGTCTTGGGATATTGGTGGAGAGAATGATCAGCTTTTGGCACAATGGTTTGAGCAAACACCATTTTATTATTCTCAAAAACAGATGGAATATGCTGAACAAGAAGATGATGCGCTATTTAATGAACTTTTAGAAAAAGGCGAGCAGTTTGCTCAATTGTTTATTACACAAATAATCAAAATGGTTCAGCAATTATTTTCTGAAAATATTCTTCAAGATACATTTGGGAAAAATCTTCCAGTCATTATTCATGAGCTTGAATATTATGAAGAACCCATTTCGTGGACCAAAAGAGCCAATCCAAGTGCATTAATCAATGAATTTATGGATGCCTGTGAAAGTGATTTCTCTTAACAAAATATGCTTATGATTCAATGCTGAGGGGCGTGATGTGCCCCACAGCACTTATTGAGTGGAAGCAAGCACTTTAAACGTTATAGACGAGTAAAGACTTCTTCTTGGGTTAAACGAGACTTGGGCAATTTTGCATTAAAGTCAGTATCACTACGATAACCGAGTGTCATAATCACAGACGGGACCAAATTCTTTTCAATTAAGCCTAATTCTTCAGTCAGAATATCTTCGTCAAAACCACCGATTGGCGTTGCATCGAGACCTTCAATACCTGCAGCTAATAGCATTTGCCCCAGTGCGATAAAGGTTTGATTTTCCGCCCAGCGCTGAATATCACCTTTTTCATTGCGATAATAAGAGACATAGCCTGTACGACTGTCTTTTTGACCTTGCTTAGCCTTGTCATCTTTAAAGCGGCCACTGAGATCATCCTGCTGAAGTAAATTACTCAGGTGCTGTTCTGTAATATCTGCTTTGGTACAGAATAAAATCGTATGTGATGAATCTAAAACCTTTGGTGCGTTGTAGCTATATTTTCCGACTAAGGCTTTAGCAATACGTTGTTTAGCTGCATCATTGTCAGCAATAAAAAAATGCCAAGGCTGGATATTGATTGACGATGGGGTTAAACGCAGGATTTCAAGTAAACGTGCAAATTGTGCTTGAGGAATCTTTTTAGAAGAATCATAAGCTTTTGTGGTGTAACGTGTTTTTGCTACATTTAATACATCCATAAGGCGACCTAATATATCGTAAATTTTCGATATATTGTATGCTAAAATGGCGAAATGTGAATCTTCAAAACGTAAATAAAGGTGAAAAATCATGATTTTTAATCAATGGGTAAAGTGATTTTTATCTGAAATTGTCCATCTAATAAATTTCCAATCCGCATTTTCATCCACTTCTAAAATCATTGCTTCAGATGTTTTTTCACGCCAATCCCCTAAAACAATTCTAGCTTTACCATTTACATCATGAATTTCAGGGCGATGGGTATGACCATGAACCAGCAGATCGACATTATTAACTGCTTTTTCTACTGCTTGTTGGTTAACATCCATAATTTCATAGGACTTATTTTGTTGAGACTCACGGCTTTTTTTACGAAAACCATTGGCAAGTTTTTGTCTAAAACCAAGTGGGGTGCTTTTTAAAAGTCCCAATACAATTGGATTGCGAATAATTTTTTTAAATCGTTGATAAGAGATATCATCGGTACATAAAGCATCGCCATGTTCAAGACGGAATTTTTTTTCACCAATGCTAAATGTATAAAATTCAGGTAGTAATTTTCCATTAAACTGATTTAAAAACGTTTGCCCTAAGGCAAAATCACGATTACCCACTTGAAAATAAATTTGATTACCAGCTTGCAATGAAAATTGTTTTAGATGCTCAATAATTTCATCTAACCAAGGCGCAGTATAATCATCTCCAATCCAAGCATTAAACCAGTCACCGAGAATAAACAGTTGCGTGTTTTGATATTTATAGTGTTCTAATAAATCAAAAAACCCTCGAACCAGTCGAGGGTGTTCTGGTGACAAATGTAAATCAGCGATAAACAGATAGGTCACTTATTTTTCCTATTTAATAACTCCTCCCAAGCTTGCTTTGTAAGGGGAAAAGTATCCCTTTATTTAAAAGTCAGCTTCGGGAGGATTTATAAATTATTCAGAGATAATTTTTGCAGATTCAATCACAATGTTTTCTAAAGGAACATCAGCATGATAACCACGGTTACCCGTGCGAACACCTTTGATTGCTTCAACGATGTCTAAGCCTTCAGTCACTTTACCAAATACTGCATAACCCCAACCTTGAGCAGTTTTACCTGTATGGTTAAGGAAAGAGTTGTTTTTTACGTTGATAAAGAATTGTGCAGAAGCAGAGTGAGGTGCTTGAGTACGTGCCATTGCAATCGTACCTTCGTCATTGCTTAAACCATTGTCCGCTTCATTTTCAATTGAATCACGTGTGGTTTTTTCTTTGAAGTTTTCATCCATGCCACCGCCTTGGATCATGAAACCATCAATAACACGATGGAAGATTACGCCATCATAAAAACCATCACGAACATATTCTAAAAAGTTAGCAACAGTTTTTGGTGCTTTTTCAGAGTTAAGTTCAAGAACAATGCGTCCTTTGTTGGTGTTTAATTCGACTTGAGGAAAACTCATTCTATAATCTCCTAATCATGACTAAAAATGTCATGGGTTTTTGGTTGAGAGAAGCATAAGCAAACTGTAAACTACATAGCAAGTAAAAATGTGAAATTCTTTTGTTAAAAAAGGATAAAATCACATTTTCTATATTCAATTTTAACTTTTA